GAATGGCTATTATCAACTAGACAGAAAATAACAAATTCTGGCAAGGATGTGGAGAACAGGGAATTCACCTAATTCTTGGTGGGAATGTAAATTCGTACAGCTATTGTGGAAAACAGTATGGAGTTTCCTCCATACTGAACTTAAAATAGATTTATTCTATGACCTAGTGTGAAGAAAATGGAGTCAGTCTAGTCAAGCCTCCTCACCTCATATTCAGGTGGGTATGATTCAGCACATCTGTTGTAAACAAGTTACATAAGTGTAACTGCATGTGTGCTCATATACTCCCTGGCTCATTGCCACTATTGTATTCTTTTAGTATAAAAGGCAGTGGCTCTGAACTGCTGGCTGGTAGAGCTTGTGTCAGAATAAAGCATGTTTATTCTGTTACTGGCTGCCAGAATCTTTATTCAACTACCTGACTCACGACCTGGATCTGTGATTCAGCCTGACACCTAGCTATCCCATTACTGGTATATACCCAAAGGAAATGAAATCGATATATCAAAATGACACCTGTACTTTCATGTTCATTTCAGCACTATTCACAATAACCAAGAGATGGAATCAACCTAAATGCCCATCAACGGATGAATGGATAAATATGCTGTGCTATATAGACACAGTGGAATACCATTCAGCTATAAAAACAAATGATATCCTATCATTTGTAGCAACATGGTTGGAACTGGAAGCCATTATTTTAAGTGAAGTAGGTCAGACACAGGAAGACAAATATAGCATGATCTCACTCATATGTGGAATCTGAAAAAAAAAATATGGATGGTTCTCATATATGAAGAATGGTGACCAGAGGCTAGGGTGAGGTGCAGGAAGAGAAGTGGTGGACTAAAGTATACAAAACTGTGCTCTCTATGCTAAGTGAATCATAGTACAGTATATGCATGTATTGAAACGATACACTGTACCTCACAAAAATTTACAAATAAGTGTTAAAGAAAAAAATGAGTGTACCATTACTGGCACTAATCACAAAATAGGAGTGCCTTTCAACCCAATGTGACTGAGATGGTTGTGTTTGAGAGGTCTAGAAAAATTTTGTGAATCTATAAACTTTTTATTAGAGCCAAAGGTCGAAGCTTTCATTCAGAGGGTGATCATTCACTATCTTTGCTGAAAGAATAGCTTTTATCTTTATGAAGAACAAGTTCCTATCAGTGAGGATTTTTAAACACCAAAATGAGTTTTCAGTGGAAGAAAAAAAAAATCTTCTTTTAGTGAAAGTACTAAACTAAGGTTATGGTAGAGTTAAATTTTTAGGGAATAGTAAAGAAAGCACATACACAGGCATATACACAGGAGATAAAAAGTAACATTAAGATTTAACTGTAAAGAAATGAAACCATAAAAATAGTAGCAGAAAATATATATTTGTTATTTGATTAAGTCAGGAATATCCTTCCAGGATTGTAAGAAAAGGAAGTAACCCAAATTAAAAGATCAACAGATTTAAATAAGTAAAATTATATAACTTCTTTTCATTAAAATAGCTCACATAAAATTAAAAGGCAAATAATGAATTGGGAAAACTGTTTGTAATGCATGACAGCAAAGAGTAACATTTAATGAAGTTTTATTTACATTACGTAAGATTTTAGGTAGGATATAGAAACTTATGTCCAAAAGAATTAATCATCTGGCAATGAAAAATACCTAGAGAAGAGTTTTTTGTTTTGGTATGTGCAAGATTCTGAAGTAACTGCAAAATTCCAGAGAATTACAGACAGGAAGATGGAGCTTTTAAAACTGTTCAAAGATCTTCTTCCGAAAGAGTGGATAGAGCGTATGCTATATACTCTTTCCAGTACAAGTCCCTGGAAGTCATATATTGTAAAATATGCAAATCTACTCTCAAAAATAAAAAAAGAGGACCTTCAATGAAATCTATACATTACTGAGTCAAAAAAGCAAATAGCAGAAGTATACGTAAGTACAGGCTCATGTTTTACTTTGTGTTTTTAAATTTCCATATATGGTATATATACACAAGCATACATACGTATACAAATGTATATCATTTACGGTATACATTACTGAGTCAAAAAAGCAAATAGCAGAAGTATACGTAAGTACAGGCTCATGTTTTATTTTGTGTTTTTAAATTTCCATATATGGTATATATACACAAGCATACATACGTATACAAATGTATATCATTTACAGAAATTTAAAAACACAAAACAATTGCTGGCCATAATGCAGTATACTGGGACAACAAAAACAATCTATCTAATATAAAGCCTTTATGACTAGACATTTAAAAACATACTACTAAATAAAAGGAAATTACAAATGTAATTGAATAAGGAAATTAATTAATATAAACAATATGATCATTTCAATGGAGAACAAAAAGGTATTTGATAGTTTAGTAATTTTTCATGATTAAAAAAAGTCATAAGCTTGGAACAGAAGGAGCTATTTTAATTTAATAAAGGGCATCTTCAAAAAACCTACAGCAGTCTTACTTGGCATAACATTAAAAGTATTTCTGCTATTATCTAAAAATGATCCTCAGACCATGCACCATCATGATTGTAACTATATTAATCATCCTTAAACTTATTTCAAACTTCATTTAATCACAATAAAAGTCCCAACAGAAGCTTTTCTGAAACTCGAAGGTATCTCAAAATGTATATCATTTCAAAAATGATATTTTGAAGAACAAAGAGGGTGATTAGCCATATGAGATATATAAAAATATTATGAAACAATAATTATTATAAGTGTCATATTAATATAGACAAATCAATGGAAGAATCAAGATTCTAGAAATGAATCTTTGTAAATATAGAATTTAGTACAGCACTGCATAATGATGTTTCAGTCAACAATGGACTGCATATATGAGAGTGGTCCTGTAAGATGATACTGGCTATACCATGTGGCCCAGGTGTGTAGTAGGCTACACCATCTAGGTTTCTGTAAGCACGCTCTTTGATAGTTGCATAACTACAAAATCACCTAAAAACACATTTCTCAGAATGTATCCTTGTCGTTAAGCAAAGCATGACTGTATATGACACTGATGCCTTTTCAATCAATGGAAAAAGGATAAAGTATTTAATACATGGTAATGATTATTTGGCTACTTATTTGGAAAAAATGTAGTTAGATTTTTTCCCTCAAATCTCTTAGAAAACTAAATTTCAAATGGATAAAAAGCAAAAATGTAAAAGTCTAAAGCATAGGAATTATTAGAGAAAATATAGGAGTCTAAATTTTGACTTCGAAATAGGCATTTCTTAATAATATCTGCAAATCCAAAACAATAAAAGGACACTTTTGTAGATTTTCTAGTGTAGAATTAAAATTGTGGGTACTGAAAAAGATGCTATGGGCATAGTCAAAGAAAATCGATTGACTTGGAAAATATCTGAATATATTTTTTAAAAAAATTTCTGTACATCCAACTAAAAACCTTCTGCATAGTAAAGGAAACAATCAACAGAGTGAAAAGATAACCTATGGAATGGGAGAAAATACTTGCAACTAGTACAGCTCCAGGCTGTGATTTGTGAAACTCAGCCTTCACACATATCCGATATTTCTGTTCTGGACTCATGTGCCTTGTTACGGTCTGAGCTAGCTGCAAGGTGACTGCTGCAATAATTCATTTGTGCTAGGTAAATTAAAGCTTTATCGTTATTTGGAAAACCTTGATATTGGATTAAAAATTCATTAATTTCATTGCAAGAAATTTCAACATTACGTTTGTCAATTGAAAAATTAAAAAGTTAAAATTCTTAAAAATCATATCAGCTGTAAATTTTTAATAATCTATATGGGTGAGCAAAGTGCCTCATTGAACAGGACCATCAACAATTTTAGAAATTCGAGAATTGAGAATCTAAAAAAAAATCATCATTAAAGGTTTTCATAATATATCACAAAAATTTCAAGCATAAAATGGTGTTACATCTAGGAGAGCAAGCTCAAGTTTCTCATCAAAATGTTTGCAAAGATTTTGTTTGAAAGTTTTATACAAATTCAATATTTAGCATTATCCTTAACATTTTATGATTTATTTTCTTTTAATTTTATAAAGTAAATGAAATATAATGAATTATTTTCTGTTTAATCTTTCATTTACTCCAGAAAGTTGTGCAACTATTACCAATTCTCTTGGTACCATGACATCAGAGGGGGAAGCGTTGCCCCAGAGAAACAGCAGTGCATGAGCACAAGGCTCATGGTCATTGCACCACTCCCTGTAATTGAAAAAATAATCAGAAACACTTTGAGTGTTCACTAAAGTGAAATGCGGCAGTTAAAAGAATGAGGTCTTTTAGACCTACTGTGAAATCAAAATTAGGATGTGGCATTTTACTAATGCTGGTAAAATCTATACAAAACCATATAATATATTTTCTCAATGTAAATGAATGCATAGAAAATGGAGGGAAACCCACACCAAACTGCTGACTGTGGTTACTTCTGAGCAGGAGACAAGGTTTTGGGGGTAGTGGTGATATGAAGCATGATTGTTAAATCTGTGATTGTTTCATTTTTCTTTCTTTTTTGGGGGTGGGGGTGGTGGCTGGCCAGTACTGGATCCGAACCAGTGATCTTGGTGTTATAAGGCTGTGCTCTAACCAGCTGAGCTAACTGTTCAGCCCCATTTTTTACAAATAGATTATATTAATGTATTTCTTACATAATTAAAATTTAACTCAAAATGTCTCCCAAAACCCCTGCTAGAATCAAATTTGATACAATCTGACAGTACAGTGATCTTAATTTTCTTTTGAAAACTTTTAAAAATTCACAAGTTTTGTATAAGGAGCATGACCAGAAGAACACTAATTTCTACATATTCTATGAAAGTGATTATACGTGGAGGCTTCATGATGACCCTTTTGTACATAGCAGATTAGTTTTTTTTCCAAAAAACAAACAAATCAAGTATATCTTTCCCCATAGATTGTGATTAAAACTTTACGAATGCTACCAAAATTTTTCAGAAATGGATTTATCTGCTAAGTTGATCAGGATTGAAGAGCCAGAATATGCAAAAAATCCCTGGAGAAGGGCTTCAGCAACCTGTGAAGCATTAGGAAATTCAGCGTCCAAAGCATTCTCAAACCTAGCCAGGTTCTCCTTTTTCCCAGTCACCAACGGTGCAATCCCAGTTATGGAGATGAAACAAAGAACAGCCATCTTCACCAAAGTACTGATAGTCTGAAACCAAGCCACTGTTACCATCCCTTGAGCATTTAGAATTCCCAGTGACCACAACATAGTCAAAGCTAGACATTTCTTCGGTAGCTCTGGAGCTGGGCATCCGGCATAGAAAGGCCGAATTATATAGCTAGATATTAACAAGTTTAGAGCACCTATTCCTAAAGAAAAAGCAAATAATTTGATCCAAAGACTGAGGAAAGCAACAGAAGATCCAAGAGATCTTTTGAGGAAATAATAAGGTGCTCCACTTCTAGGGAAGGTGGTCCCTAGCTCTGCATGACAGAGAGCTGTGATCATATTCAGCAAGGCACAAGCAGCCCAAATACTCAGGGAGACAGGTATGTTCAGTGAGGAGTATTTCAACACCCCTTTAAGAGACACAAAGATTCCTGACCCTATCATGATACTAAGCAAGAAAATGTTTCCATGGAAGAATCCTATTTCTCTCGAGAGTTGCATGCTTTTTTGCCTTTTCCCATTTTTTTAAAAATACCGCAAAATAATTTCAAAATGTTATAGTGATTGCCAGTTTTTATACATTTCCCCTTTGATTCTGCAACATGCTCTCTTTTTGCCTTTTCCCATTTTTTTAAAAATACCGCAAAATAATTTCAAAATGTTATAGTGATTGCTAGTTTTTATACATTTCCCCTTTGATTCTGCAACATGCTCTCTTGATTCAATTGTTACTCTTAAATAAAAATTTTATTATCAAACAACTTTTAAAAAAATGATTAACTTGTGAATTATTTTAAGACTTTGTGACCTCTTTTAAGACTAAACTGTTTCTCATGTTAATTATTTAAAAATCTGCATATGCCTGGTGCTGGTTGTACAACATTATGGATGTAATTAATGCTGCTGAATTGTACACTTAAAAATGGTCAAAATGGATCCAGCTGACACTCTTAAAGGGAAAAAAATGGTCAAAATGGTGAATTTTGTGTTTTATATATTGTATCACAAATTAAAAAAAATTAATAATGTAGCATACCCCAAACCATTGAATTATACAGTTTAAGTGGGTGAATTGTATGGTATGCGAGTTATCTCAATAAATCTGTTCTTAAAAATTACATATTCCACTGAACCAGTTAATCACAGCTAATTAAGAAAGGAAGATTAAGGAAGCTTTGGGCAGAGAATTCTCCTTTGTAGACATAACATTAATATTATGTAACTTTGAGCTAATACTTTCTAAAATGTGTTCCAAAGGAAGAAAATGTAGTTTAAAGTAAAATATGTAAATTTTAGATTTAAGTGTACCAACATGCGACTTTCACATCTGTCAGTTACTAGGAGCATGATTTTCCATAAATTGTTTTATTTATTTGAAGAATCCATGTTTTCTCATTTGCTATAGGTCCCCCAAAAGTTCATGTGTTAAAAACTTGATCCCCATTGTAACAGTGTTAGGACGATGAGAAATCTGATTATAGTATTTGAAAGGTGGGCCTTTAAGAAGTGATTGGATTGTGAGGACCATGCTCTCATGATTAGATTAATCCTTTCATGGAGTAATGAGTTACCGTGGGTGTGGACGGGTGGCTTCATAAGTACAGCACATGAGAGAGCTCATGCCATTCTTGCCATGTGATACCCTGCATTGCTGTAGAGAGTCATCACCAAGAAGTTCTCACCAGATATGGCCCCTGGACCGTGGGCTTCCCAGCCTCCTAAACTATATGATTCAATTGTTACTCTTAAATAAAAATTTTATTATCAAACAACTTTTAAAAAAATGATTAACTTGTGAATTATTTTAAGACTTTGTGACCTCTTTTAAGACTAAACTGTTTCTCATGTTAATTATTTAAAAATCTGCATATGCCTGGTGCTGGTTGTACAACATTATGGATGTAATTAATGCTGCTGAATTGTACACTTAAAAATGGTCAAAATGGATCCAGCTGACACTCTTAAAGGGAAAAAAATGGTCAAAATGGTGAATTTTGTGTTTTATATATTGTATCACAAATTAAAAAAAATTAATAATGTAGCATACCCCAAACCATTGAATTATACAGTTTAAGTGGGTGAATTGTATGGTATGCGAGTTATCTCAATAAATCTGTTCTTAAAAATTACATATTCCACTGAACCAGTTAATCACAGCTAATTAAGAAAGGAAGATTAAGGAAGCTTTGGGCAGAGAATTCTCCTTTGTAGACATAACATTAATATTATGTAACTTTGAGCTAATACTTTCTAAAATGTGTTCCAAAGGAAGAAAATGTAGTTTAAAGTAAAATATGTAAATTTTAGATTTAAGTGTACCAACATGCGACTTTCACATCTGTCAGTTACTAGGAGCATGATTTTCCATAAATTGTTTTATTTATTTGAAGAATCCATGTTTTCTCATTTGCTATAGGTCCCCCAAAAGTTCATGTGTTAAAAACTTGATCCCCATTGTAACAGTGTTAGGACGATGAGAAATCTGATTATAGTATTTGAAAGGTGGGCCTTTAAGAAGTGATTGGATTGTGAGGACCATGCTCTCATGATTAGATTAATCCTTTCATGGAGTAATGAGTTACCGTGGGTGTGGACGGGTGGCTTCATAAGTACAGCACATGAGAGAGCTCATGCCATTCTTGCCATGTGATACCCTGCATTGCTGTAGAGAGTCATCACCAAGAAGTTCTCACTAGATATGGCCCCTGGACCGTGGGCTTCCCAGCCTCCTAAACTATCAGAAATGAATTTTGTTTTTATAAATTACCCAATTTCAGGTACTGTGTTTAAGCAGGAGAAAACAGCAATAGAGAAAATTGGTACTAAGAAGTGGGGTGTTGCTAATTATGAGTACCTGAAAATATGGAAGGTGCTTTGGAACTGGGTTATATGCAGAGGCTAGAAGAATTTGGAGGACCAGGCTAGAAAAAGCCTAGATTCTGGTAAAGGGAAAACAAGAAGACAAGAGGATCAGGTAAAGTTTGAAAGGTCATAGAGACTGGTTAAGTGCAAGTGACCAGAATGCTAATAGAAATATGGATAGTAAAGGCCATTCTGGAGGAGGCTTTAGGTGTAAATGAGAAGGAGCTTACTAGAAACTGGAGCAAAAGTCACCCTTGTTATGAACTGGTAAGGAACTTGGCTGACTTATATCCATGCCTTAAAGTTTTATGAAATGTGGAGCTTAAAAAGTGATGAACCAGTGTATTTGGTGGAAGCAATTGCTAAGCAGTAAAGCATCAGGCAGCTCTATGGCTACTTGTAACAGCCTACACTTAGTTGTGGCAGCAAAGGCATGAAGTAAAGCCAAAATTTATAATTAAAAGGGAAGCAGAGGGTAAAAAAAAAGTGATGAACCAGTGTATTTGGTGGAAGCAATTGCTAAGCAGTAAAGCATCAGGCAGCTCCATGGCTACTTGTAACAGCCTACACTTAGTTGTGGCAGCAAAGGCATGAAGTAAAGCCAAAATTTATAATTAAAAGGGAAGCAGAGGGTAAAAAACTGGAAAACCCTCAGCTTAGTTACATAGAATGAAAAAGTATGTTTGGAAGAGAAAGCCAAGGGTGTAGCCTAGTGATGGTCTCCAAGGAGATTAGTGCAGAAAGAAAGAATCATTAAAAAAATGGAAGAAAGACCTTGATGGAATTTCAGAGATCTTCAAGGCATCTCCACCCATTGCAGGCCCAGAGACCTAGGGAGGGAGCCCACTGCGGGCCCAGAGGCCTAGGGAGGGAGAATGGTTTCAGGGAACAGGCCTGAGGTGACCACAGGCTCATTGCCCAGGATACCTTGGGATGGTGCTCCCTGCACCCCAGCTGCTGTAGCTGCTCCACCCATGGCTAAATTGGCCAGAAACCTTGGCAGCATTCATGTGGTGTTAAATCTGAAGGCTTACAGAATGCCAGAGCTGTGGAGGCATGGCAGCCTCCTCTTAGATTTCAAAGGATGTATGGAAAAGCCTGGGGACCCAGGATGAGATCTGTCACAGGGGGTGGAGTCACCACAGAAAGACTTCACTCAGCAATGCTGAGCACAAATGTGAGATTGGATTTGCAGCAGGGAAACCCCACCAGGGACACCCCACCAGGGACATGCCTAGTGGATCCATAGCAGCAGGACAACCATGGAGACCACAGAACTGTAGAGCTACCAGTGTGCATCACAAGCCTGGGAGAGCTGAAGCATGGATGGAGCCTAGGAAAGCTGTGGGAGTAGGGTTGCTTGAGGACTTGGAGGCCCAATCCCCATACCAGTGTGCAGAGGATGCTGAACATGGGTTCAAGGGAGATTATCTTCCAGATTTAAGATTTTTATCCTGCCCTGCTGGGTTTTGAACATGCTTAGGACCTGTTAGCCCTTTCCTTTGGCCTATTTCTCCCTTTTCTGAACCCTATACTCGTTCCACTGTTGTATCTTAGAAGCAGATACCTGTTTTGATTTCAAAGGCTCATAGATGAGACTTGAGTTGGTGTTGGAATGAGTTAAGACTTTGGGACTATGAGGATGAAATGAATGTATTTGTATATGAGAAGGATATGAGTTTTGGGGGGCCGATGGCAGAATGCTGTGGATTGAATGTACTCCCTGCCAAGCCCATGTTGAAACTTAACCCCTACTATGGTGGTGGAAAGTGAAGCCTTTGAGAAGTGATTGGATTGTGAAGACTGTGCTCTCATGAGTGGATTAATCCAGTCATAGAGTAAGAGGCTGATGGTTCAATGGGTGGTCATGGGTGTGGTTCTGATGGCTTTATAAAGAGAGCAAGTAAGAAGGTTAGCACCCTTGCTCAGCTCATTCTCCCCATGCAATACCCTGAGTTGCTGTAGAAAGTCATGACACCATGACAAAGACCCTCACCAGATATGTTCCCTAGACTTTGGACTTCCCAGCCTCCAAACTATAAGAAATAAATTTCATTTCTTTATAAATTAGCCAGTTTCAGGTATTCTGTCTTCAGCAACAGAAATAGATTAATACTTGCATCATCTATAAAATAAGGATAATAATTTCATTTTATCATAGGATCATTTCCATGGAATTGAATGAGATATATGTGAAGCCTCTATCAGAGCACCTGACATATCAGGGCTTAATAACAGCACTTGTATCTATTGCCACCTAACAAATAGCCCCAAAGTTAATGACCTAAAACAACAGCATCTCAGTTTCTGTGGGTCAGGAATTCAGATGATGTATAGCGGAATCCTTTGGCTCTAGGTATCATAAGGCTTTAATCAAGCTATTGGCCATGCCAGCAGTCATCTCAAGGCTCCACTGGGAAGGATCCACTTCTAAGCTCACTCATGTGGTTGTGAATTATAATATGATACTGGAGGTATGAAGTGACTGGATTCTTGATATATTTGAAAGTAGACCCCATAGAATTTTTTGATAGATTAGATATGGGGTTATGAGAGAGTGACAGGAATAAGGTTAATAAAGTATGTGGGCCTGGCAACTGGAAGAATGGAGGTGCCTTTATTGTTTCTATTGTATGAAT